TGACAAAAGTTGTATACATTTTTAAGAGTGTTTCGTCCAAGAGTGAATTTGAGCTTTTTCAAAAGGCCAAGATTTTTATATGCAGTATTTACAACGTTACCTATGTATACAGACAAGCTTAACTCTTAAAGAAAAAAGTAAACCAAGATACTTATGTGAAGGTTCAAATTCTAACTGACATTGTTGAAAGTAAAGTTAAGGAAAGTCAAAATCTTTTTAGTGTAAAGAAAACAGCTTTAATTTTTAAAAGGTTGAATTTGCGTAACCATTTTTTAGACCATTCGTCTAAAATATTTAGATCGTGGTTAATGTTATTTTCTATACTGGCAACGTTTTACGAAGAATTCTGTAGAGTATTGTCATCTGCAAATAATCTACATAGTGACGTGTTTTCTGAAACATCATTTACATAAATTTAAACATAGGTAATCAAAGATTAGGAAGCTCACCTCGACGAATGTTAGTTTAAGTAATGCAAATCTCACATCATAGTTTCTTAATATTTAGTATTCATCCCGACAACAATATTCTTGCAAGTTGTGTTTAACCCCTTTCATGGCTTATACACATTACTACGCGTGTAGCATGAAAAACATGTATAGTGTTTGGTTAACCTAGGGCTTATAGTAACTTGGAAATAAAAAGTAGGTCAGATCCAGCATCTGAAGCAAGTCCGTAGTGTCCATCTCTAGATGCATCATCCATGCATGGTTGGTCCAAATAGGGCTTATAGTTCCTGTGGAATGGACCTGTTCCAAAACTTTAACCTGGTCATTCATCTGTAAAATGTACATGTAGGTCAGATCCAGCATCCGAAGCTAGTCTGGTAGTGTCCTTTCCTATATGCATCATAAATACAAGTTTGGTCCAGGTAGGTCTTTCAGTTCCTTGGGAATAGACCTGCTCCAAAAACTTTAACCTTGTCACTCATCTGGAAAATGTATGTCAGGTCCAGCATCCGAAGCAAGTCTGGTAGTGTCCATCCCTAGATGCATCATCCATGCAAGTTTGGTTCAGGTAGGGCTTATAATTCCTTGGGAATGGACCTGCTCAAAAAACTTTGACCTGCTCCAAAAACTTTAACCTGGTCACTCATCTAGAAAATGCAGGTAAGATCCAGCATCCGAAGCAAGTCTGGTAGTGTACATCCCTAGATGCATCATCCATGCAAGTTTGGTTCAGGTAGGGCTTATAGTTACTTGGGAATGGACTTGCTCCTAGAGCTTTAACTTTTGACGCCGACGCTTACGCCGACACCAACGCCGGGGGTATAGCATAAGCTCATCTCGACTTCGTCGAGGTGAGCTAAAAAGTAGGGTCAAAGGTACCCCTGCATTAGACGATAAGATAAGATATTTTTATACAATACTTTTTTGATCCAACTGTTTAAATAACTGTTATAATAACATTTATACCATTCCGTAAGTTTGCAGTTTAAAAAGAAGACCCTTATGCCAGACTCTATCGAAAGCCTTCGATAGATCTCAAAAGACCATACATGACTTTCCCTCATCCATACTTTTAACTATACTATGGTATGTTTCCAGCAATTGGTGAACAGTTGTGTGGCCAGGTAAAAATCCTGCCTGATACTTAATTATTTGCATGAAAATGGTTATATACATGTTTAAATATTCTTTCCATAATTTTACTAACGCAGCTCAATAAAGACACTGATCTGTTATTTGATGTTTTATTTAGTTGGGTCAGCTTTTTTTAAAAAGAGGGAGAACATGAGCTAATTTCCAGGAATCGGGAAAAGAGTTTTCCTTCAGAGATTTATTAAATAACATACAAAGCGGTTCTGAAATAGTCAGAATTGTTGATTTCAATATTTTGTGACTAAAGCAATTTTGCCCAATAGCTTTATTTACTTGAAGTATTGATATTAATTATTTTCTGCTTTTGAATGACGACTTCACTTAGCATATAGTTACATATTAAGTATTGGTCGGGTAGGTTGTTTCCAATGCCTTCAATATTCGATATAGAGGAGAAGTATTTATTTAGTGCCTCAACTTTTTCAAGATCATTAAATGCAGTTGAACTATTTCCATTATCAAAAATAAAGTGAATAGGGGGGGGGGTATGAAAGTTTGACCCCCCCCCCCAAAGCGTCTTTCATTAGTTTCCAGTACAATTTGTCGTCATTTTTATTCGCATCATTAATTTGTATATCAATATAATCATAGTAATAAGATATCGCATATTTTTTCATATTATTCACTTTGTTTCTTATTTTCCGAAAGTTAGCCCAGTCTGAATCTTTATCAGTTTTGACGCCTTATTACGTAGTCTATTACGTATTCTGATGTGTTTCCTTAAAAGTGAATCAATCCATGCTTTGTCTTTGGGTCTTATAATTATAGTTTTTCAGGTATGCATTCACGAACATATGACAGATATTGTGAGGTAAAAAGCTCAATGGCTGTGTCTATATTTTCTGATTTGCAAATTAGTCTGTCCCAATCACATGATTCAATTCAAGTGTTCAATTTTTCAATATCAGCATTTTCATACTGCCAAATTTTACGTTTATATGCACGATCGAGTTTATAGTGTTGAGAAATTGATATATAGGTCGCTTTGTGATCAGTTACAAAGGAGTCTATATTTAGAACACCTGACTCATATGCCTTTACGTTATGTGTTGTTAAATTCAGGTTAATAAGCGTTTGGTAAACCCATCAATATGTAGATCATCATTCAATACATTGCTATCTAAATGAGTTTATTGAAATTCCTGTCACATTAACTTATATGTGAGTAGCTTGTCTGAATTAAAAACAGAAAAAAGATAGAAGAAAGTCATCAAGAGCTAAACGGTAATGGGACCCGAGCAATTGATGGAATGCATACAACTTGCGTATTGAGGACACTACCTACTGTATACAGGTTTATTTTCGCCCCGTGTTATTTTCGTCCTTTCAAACTGTAAAACAAATTTGCCCGTATTAAATTCGCCCAATTGTGAGTTTTGTTTACGAATTTCACTGATTTTTTCGAATTCGTCCCGTTTTAAATTCGCCCTAATGAGGGTAGGGCGAAAGGGGCGACAATAAAACGGGGGCGAAAACTTCCCTGCATATAGTATTTATCCTCTAGGACACTTGTTTGCGACCACAGCTATATCTTTGGAAACATAAACATAAGTTGCCAGAAAGAGCACAAGTTGCCCTCGTTTTTGAAAATTCGGAAATTTATCTTGGAGGAGATTAATCTTTGTTTAGAGTTTCGCCTTCTAGCCACCATGTTTACCAACTGATATTTTACGCGCCAATGCATACACAACCGAAACAACACTTAAAAATAAGATTTATGCAATAAACAAGACAAAACACATACATTTACACACATGAACTAATAATTTGCTACAAAGAGTATGCAAAAATTAATTTGCACCTACTCCAGACCAGGTGTAAATTTACTCAACTGTGCAGAAGTTGTATATAGGAAAGAAAAAGTGAGCTAGCTCACATACCCCACGCTCCCCCAAATCTTGACGGTGAAACACATCATGAAAGGCACAGTGCACTTTAAATAAATAGTATTGATCAAAAAGGGCAATAATTGCAAAAAAAATCTTCACATCAAAATGTCTTGCATATGAAGACATTTAAATGTGAAATTAAGTTTCTAGATAAATAATGGAATCAAAATTTCTTTGCATTATGCAAATCCAAACAATAATTTGAAGTAATTGGGTAGGGGTAAGGGGGTGGGGTTGAGAAATTTTCTTGAATAATAGGCAACACTCTTTGGGATAAAATAATGGAATATGTCCTAAATATCTGCCTAGGTTGACGAAACAATGTACAACAGTTAAGAGGAGTGGTGCTGACAAACTGTTCATCTCTATATTCAAAATATGGCCAAAATGTCTAAGTTGGAAAGTGTGGAAATTCCCAGAAAAATAAAGGAATCGGAATTTGCTGGTAATATGCAAATCTACACATTGTGTCCTAAATATCTGCAAAGTTTAACGAATTCTGTTTAATTTAAAGGGTATGACAAAAACCTAAGTTATCTTTTTGATAAATTTCCGGGGAATATGCACATACATATTGTGTCCTAAATATCTGCAAAGTTTGACTTATGTGCAGCGGTTTATGAGGAGTTGCGCTGACAATGTCTTTATACCTCCCGCAACTAGATGCGTGGGGTATAATAAGTTCATAAGACTTAAATTGAACATGTAAGTAAATTTTCCGGTGTAAAATATGCTGAGGTATGCAAATTGCGTCGTATGCTTCATAGTATAAGCCAGTTTTTTCAAATGTGGTCACTAACACATCAATTGTTTAATTTAAAGGTATCTTTTTGATAATTTTATGTACCCATAAATCTTTCTTTGAAATGTCTTTACCATACATGTATGTGCAACTTGAAAAAAGTAGTTGAAAGGCCTACAGTTTAAATGTGGTCACTTACACATTTAGCTGCAGATCTGTAGCTCTCCCAAATAATATATTGATAGACCGGAGAGCTACAGCTGTATATTTATTGCGCACAAAAAAGTGCGCTCGGTTCTCGATTTATTCTTCCAAATTCTCACCTCAATTGGAAAAAAAGGAAAGATTTAAAAAATATCCCGTTCTCCTCTATCACGTGTTCTCGTAGTTGACATCTGAACGAAGCACATTGGACCAAATTATCCTTGAAACCAAAACTGCTGTATAAATAAGCTAAATGTTCGATGGTTACAATACCAGAGTGATCAGCAATTATGAGCAATGGAAAAAATACAGTTAGTAATATTTTGAGATTACAGTTTAAAAATATAGAAATTGAAAAGTTTTTTGTATATATACAGTTTTTTAAATGGGTGGCAAATCAAATATTTTTTTCGGAAAAAAATAACACATTATATTTTTAATTTTTTTCACCTCATGATAAAACCAATCAAACAGCATTGAAGCAAAACTTAAAACGCTATTCTAAGCACTGTAAGAAAAAAATAGATGATTTTGAAAAGTGTAATCCATCCCCATTCATGGCATTGCCAAAAAGATGATTTTCAAAGAAATTTCAAAAAAATGCAAAGATTGCTTCCATATGAATATGATCAATTATGGCTTTGTAATTCCTAAGAATAAGATTTTTTTTAAATCCTATATATTTCCTGAGGGTCACGATTTGTACAAACATGAATTTTAACTACCTGGGGATGCTTCCTTATGATCAATTATTGCTTTCCTACTCTTTAGATATATATTGTAAAAAATTTACCTATACATATCTCTGTAAAACTTTGGTCAGTCATTTGGCCCCGCCCTATCCCGGGGTTCATGACTTTACAAACTTGAATCTACACTATCGAAGGATGCGTCCATATAAATATGATCAATCCTGCCTTTGCTATTCTTGAGACAATGTTTAAAGAATTTTCCTATACATTTTTATGTAAAACTTTGGTCGGCTATTTTGGCCCGCCCTACCCTGGGGGTCATGATTTGAACAAACTTGAATCTACACTTCCTGTGGATGTTTCCCAATACATTTCATCCTTCCTGGCATAGTGGTTCTTGAAAAAAATTTTAAAGCATACCACCAAATTTACATAATTCCCAGTTATCTCACCTTGAATGTGGGTGTGGCCCATCATTTGAACAAACCTGAATCTCCTTCACCCAAGGAACCTTTATGGCAAGTTTGGTTGAAATTGTCCCTGCAGTTCTTGAGAAAATGTAGAAAATGTGATAAAGTTTACAGACAGACAGACAAACAGACAGACGGACGCCATACAAAAAATGTGATCAGAAAGGCTCACTTGAGTCTTTGGCTCAGGTGAGCTAATAATACAAAATAGGAGCACAGTAAACATGGACCTACAAAACATTTGAAGAGGGACCAGGTACCATGGAGGAATGAACATCCCCTGTCGCCCAGTCATTCGTTTCTATTCTCTTAAACAGAGAATGTTTTTCCACTCATATATCCCATCTCTAAGGTAACCTGAATGTATCTATTCCTGAACCTGTGCATAACTTCCCCCACACACCACAATCATAAAGTTTATTACTTATATATGTTCTCACATATAAATTTAAGTTACCTAATTGTTTGAATCCTTTTCACATACATCACATTATATAGTTCTCATCTGTATCATGTATGTGTCCTCATGTGTTAATTTAAGTCCATTTTTTCATAGAACGCTTTCTTACAGAAACCACATATATAAGATTTATCACCACTATGTATCCTACAATGTCTCAAAAAGTTTTTTGAACAATAGAATACCTTTCCACAAACATCACGTACATAAGAATTATCATCTATTTGTGTTCTCATGTGACTCTTGAAGTGCTCTAAGTGGCAGAGAGCCTTCCCACATATATATCACATTAATAAAGTTTTTCACCTGTATGTGTCCTCATGTGCCTCTTTAAGTTTTGTGAGCAGTTAAATGCCTTTCCACACACATCACATTTATAAGGTTTATCACCTGTATGTGTCCTCATATGACCCTGTAAGTGTTGTGACTGTCTGAATGCTTTTCCACACACACCACATTTATACGGTTTTTCACCGGTATGTATCCTGATGTGTCTCTGAAAGTCATTTTTCCGTTTGAATGCCTTTTCACACACATCACATTTATAAGGTTTTTCACCAGTGTGTATCCTATTGTGTCTCTTTAAGATATGTGAGAGTTTGAATGCCTCCCCACACACATCACATTCATAAGGTTTATCACCTGTATGTGTCCTCATGTGTTTCTGTAAAGCATTTAATCTATTGAATGCTTTCCGACACACATCACATTTATACATGCAATGTTTATCACCTGCATGTATGCTTATGTGATCCTGTAGGTGATGTAACAGTGTAAAGGCCTTCCCACACACATCACAGTTATAAGGTTTTTCACCAGTATGTGTCCTGATGTGACTCGATAAGTTTTGTGACTGGTTGAAAGCCTTCCCACACACATCACATTTATAAGGTTTTTCTCCTGTGTGTGTCCTAATGTGACTCTTCAAATTTTGTAAGTGGCTGAATGCCTTCCCACACACATCACATCTATGAGGTTTTTCACCTGTATGTGTCCTCATGTGACTCCGTACGTTCTGAGACTCGTTGAAAGCCTTCCCACACACATCACATTTATACGGTTTATCACCTGTATGTGTCCTCTTGTGAATCAGTAAGTTCTGTGATTGGTTGAAAGCCTTCCCACACACATCACATTTATAAAGTTTATCACCAGAATGCGTCTTCATGTGACTCTTCAAATTTTGTGAGTGGCTGAATGCCTTCCCACACACATCACATCCATAAGGTTTATCACCTGTATGTGTCCTCATGTGACTCTTTAAGTTCTGAGACTCGTTGAAGGCCTTTCCACACACATCACATTTATAAGGTTTTTCACCTGTATGTGTCCTCATGTGACTCTTTTTTGTGATCTCTGTGACTGGTGTGTGAAAGCTTTCCCACACACATCACATCTATAAGGTTTTTCACCGGTATGTGTCCTCATGTGTCTCAGAAAGTCACTTTTCCGTTTGAATGCCTTTTCACACACATCACATTTATAAGGTTCATCACCTGTGTGCATTCTTTTGTGATCCAGTAAGTGATGTGACTGTCTGAATGCCTTCCCACACACATCACAGTTATAAGGTTTTTCACCGGTATGTGTCCTCATGTGTCTCTGTAAGTCCCTTGTCCGTTTGAATGCCTTTTCACACACATTACATTTATGAGGTTTATCATCTGCATGTATACTAATGTGTCTCCATAACTCATGTAGATGATTAAATGCTTTCATATAGATGTTACATTCATTGGGCCTTTTACTTTCACATGTCTTTATGGATTGATTGAAATTCCCAAATTCATTTTCGTTTACACTATAGTTTATATTTACAGGATGACTTTCTGGTCCGGATACAAAATCTGCCTCTTCTTTCTGTAAATGTGACCAAAAAATCAGTTGTAATGCTATTTCATGGTATTTATCTACAAGATATCAAGAGGCCCAGGGTCCACATCGTTTACCTGAGTAATTAAGAATTGCTTGTTTTTTTTACCAGATGACCACTTTTTGTAATACTTGTTGTTGGCCAACCCTTTCTGACGGTACATGTGCCCCCGGGGTCGTGATTTGAACAGTTAAGAATCAACACTACCTCTTACAGGATGTTTCAACTTAAGTTTTCGCTTTTCCGTCCCAACTGTTCTTGACAAAATTATTAAACATTTTTTTAATACACTGAACCAAACTTCAGTGTTCATTTAACATTTTTTTTAAGTTTTAAAGAATAAAAGCATACGATAAATAATTTTCTTATTCATTATTATTGCTTTTAATAATTTAGTTCAATGTTAGGTAAAATTTCATTTAAATATCTCGTCAAAATTTTAAGCAAAGTGTCAAGAAAATGATGTATCCTCAGAAAGAAAAAAAATCTCTATGGAGCAAGACCAACACGTGCTCTCATTTTTTGCAAGACTTCCAACCAATCAGTAGTATTACGCAACTACAACACAAGATTCCTAGATACTTTCATACCTGGATAATTTACTTAATAAAGGTACATATATTAATAGTAATCTAACAACCAAGCTTTATGATAAACGTGATGTTTTTAACTTTTCTATCGTCAACTTTCCTTACCCATGCAGCAATATACCTTCATCAGCTGCATATGGCATTTATATGTCTAAGTTGATTCAAAATGCAAGAGCATGCTCTAAAACGAGGTAAATTATTGACAAACAAGTTGATGAAACAAGAATATCGGCAGTATCGTTTAAAGTCACCATTTTGTAAGTTCTTTGGTCAATACAATGACCTTGTCAGCATATACAACTTCTCATTCAGTCAAATGCTGACTGACGTTTTTCATACTAATTGTTAGTGAATTATTTACAGATTGAATTGAAGAAGGATTTTTCGGTTATTTAACGATCATGACAAAGAGCACACGGCGGGTGTGACCGGTCAGCAGAGGATGCTCACTCCTCCATGTCACCTGATCCCAACTATGATGTTTTAGATGTCTGCGTTTGTATAGTTCTAGAAAACAAGAGGTCCAGGGGCCACAGCGCTCACTTGAGCACATTGGCTTGGAAAAAGCACATATCAGATCAGAAATGAAAGTTTACAGGGGGGGGGGCTTGAATTTTAACCCCCCCCCCCCCCAGGGGTTCATGATTTGAACAAACTAGAGTCTACACTACCTGAAGATGATTCCATATAATTATCACTAATCATAACTTTGAAGTACTTGAAAATATGATTTTAAAAGGTTTCCCTATAAATCCCTATGTAAAACTTTGGTCAGCCATTTTGGCACCACCCTTGCCCCGGGGTCATGATTTGAACAAACTTGAATCTACACTACCTGAGAATGATTCCACATGAGTTTCATCTTTCCTGGCCCAGTGGTTCTTGAGAAGAAGATTTTTAAAGATTTTTCCTATATATTTCTATGTAAAACTTGGGTCGGCCATTTTGGCCCCACCCTAGCCCCGGGGGTCATGATTTGAACAAACTTGAATCTACACTACCTGAGGATGATTCCACATGAGTTTCATCTTTCCTGTCCCACTGGTTCTTGAGAAGAAGATTTTTAAAGATTTTTCCTATAAATTCCTATGTAAAATTTTGATCAGCCATTTTGGCCCCACCCAACCCTTGGGGGTCATGGTTTGAACAAATTTGAATCTACACTAGCTACCTGAGGATGATTCCACATGAGTTTCATCTTTCCTGGCCCAATGGTTCTTAAGAAGATTTTTAAAGATTTTTCATATATATTACTATGTAAAAATTTGATCGGCGACTACTGGAGGATGATTCCACATCAGTTTCATCTTTCCTGGCCTAAAGGTTCTTGAGAACAAGATTTTTAAAGATTTTTCCTATATATTCCGACGAAAAAATTTGATCGGCCAATATGGCCCCACCCTACCCCGGCGTTCATTATTTGAACAAACTTGAATCTATATTACCTGAGGATGATTCCACATCAATTTCATCTTTCCTGGCCCACTGTTTCTTGAGAAGAAGATTTTTAAAGATTTTTCCTATATATTCCACTACTGGACGAAAAAAGTGCTGAGAATCCCATATTGTACTGATAATGTTTGATAATTACTGATACGGTGCTGTTCTTGCTGATAATTACTGATATTTACTGTTATTATTACTGTTGTTGCTGATAATTTTAGTTGTTGTTGATAAATACTGATAATTACTGTTGTCTTTTACTGTGGAGTCTGATAAATACTGATAAATACTGTTGAGGTACTGTCGCTGCTGAGAATTGCTGATAATTACTGTTGAGGTACTGTCGATGCTGAGATTTACTGATAATTACTGTAGTCATTGTTTTTAACCTGGGAATGGATGAAAATAGCCTGAGAAATGATTGTTTTTTTTTTTAAGTATTTTATCAAATTCATTACAGTCAATTACAAAATTATTCTAAATAAAAAAAGTCACGTTTATTAATTTGTTTTCAGTTTACAGCTATCAATTTCATTATAATTATTTTTAGACCATAATGTTAACATAAGCTTTCATAAATGTTTATGTTTTTTTTCTTTAAATTTCTCCTTACACGTAGATGACATTATCTGAGGAAAATTATTCTGTTGTATTTGCAGTGGTTATTCTTCCCAAGTACTTTTTTAAAAAGTTTAATTTTTGTTCATAAAGGTTAAAAAAATCTCATCTCATATTTTTTCTCACATGTACATGTATGTGTACTGTCATCAAAACCTTTTTATGGGTATCTTCAATACTTCAATACAGTCAATGGTTGTAAATATCAATTTATTTTACCGTGTGGAGAACTGAAAATGCATGAACACATTAAGTTGAAAACATACCCCCCTTTCCATTTACTTTTAAATTAAGCTCTCAATTTAACAAGACAGTATTAAATATTTGTCATAAAATCTTGTCTTGAAGAGTACACTTTGTTATTTTAGAGAAGAATGTGACAGGGTTAAATAATCAAATTGAAGCATCTTTAATTATTTTTTTTATATATTATGTAGACATCGCGCTCTAGTTCTCCGATGTTCTCCCTGCGATTTAACACTGTGTCGCTTTCTAGCTCCCTCTCTCTCTCACTCTCTCTTTCTCTCTCTCTCTCTCTCTCTCTTTAAATTATTTGTTAAGGCTTAAGTATTGTATACTACATGACATAAATCTTATGCAGTGAGATTTTCAGTCAATGAAATACACGTCTTTCTTTAGCCTAATTCTTTTTTCATTGTATACAGTTTTAAGTCTATGGGCATATGGCTTCTAATATTATGCGCCACTCCTTAAACATGTTATATGCGGTCAGTCAGTTAAAAAACAAGATAAAATAAATCAGAACTTGAATTAACTTTTTCCATTAATGCAAACTTTGTGCTTGTTGTTCTGGAACATACATGTAACCACGTGTAAAAGTTCTACTTTCGTTTTAGAATCGGGTCAATTATTAGTACATTCTGCCATAGGGATATCGTTACGGCTTGCGTTTTTGTAAAATAAGAATTTTGTGCAGAGATTATAAATTTTTTTAAATTCCATTTTTGTCTGAGACCTCTGTATAAACGAACAGTGCAGACTGGGTGCTTATTTATACGATTTTACTTGATTGTAGCACAAAAAGGAGGGGGGTGAAATACTGTTTACATTTAAGTGATAGCCGATAGGGCAAGGTCTGTTCTTTAGTTGTGTGTTTTAAAAGTCATGCAAGTTATGATATTATATTTATCGAATTTTTTATATGCATGAATAAAATTATTTTAGAGAATCAATTGCAATGAACCATACAAAATTCAGAACTGAAGTAATTATAACATTTATTCATGAGTACGAAACACAACGTCATGTTTCTGACATTCAAAATCCAAACATTTATTAAGGTTTTTTTTCCTCAGATCAAGCGAAGTGGAGTTTCCCTGCATCTCAATTGTGAACAATTAATGCTAATATTATTTCAAAAAGTTCTTCGCTAAACAATCTTTCTCTTTATATCTATATGATTGTATATTTTGCACACCTTTTTTTTTTTATTAAAAAGTGAAGTAAATTTCTCGTCTACATATTTACCGGTCCCAAACCATCGTTAGCAAAGATTCAGAATTGAAAATACATCTGACCACCTCCCCCGGGATATTCTTTTATCTGAAAAACAAAATATACTCCCCGGCCTATATTCCCTTACTTCGCATTTATAGCAACCTACAAAATTTTTTTGTTTAGTTTCTTATTCACGCATGCCTTTTAGACCTACTGTTATGTATAAAATCACCACATTTTATATGTTTTTGTGGTCTATGTATACTAATGTAAAATGGTAAAAAGATTCAAATAAATGATTGATTGATTGATTGATTGAAGAAATATGCGTATAACTAAAAAATGAAATTAAATACTG